TCTACCAGCGCCAAAATCATTCAAAACTAAAAAAATTTTACTTGCACGTACGCGAGACTTGGGTGCAGGTGCAATTTAATAATTTAGGTTAGGGGGTCCGCACATGGACGGTAAACGTCCTCACAAAATTTCATTTTTTCTTTTTCGGTTAATTCCGAGTTGGTACTTGTCAGCGACAATCTATAACATAGCCGTATCTATGAGATTTCAGCTTATTATATTAACAGGTTCCCGAAATCGTTTCCCGCCAAACATCTACACGTGTTCTTTTAGGCGTCCACAAGTAAGACCTAAGTGCACGCAAATTTTGATTTCAGGCTGTGTTCAGGAGTTGAAAATGAGTAAAAGTTCACTCGTCCATGCGCACATACACCTACACATGAATGCAGACAGCCTTTGACAAGACGTTTTTACATACGCATAAAGATGCAAAAACTCATAAAAAAGTGTGATATGTCAAGGCATTTTCCATTCTGAAGAGCAATTTTTGAAAAAAAAAAAAAAGATAGCAAAAGTGGAAATGAATCGAACCAACTGATACAATACGGTATAAAAAGTCCTGTAGAAATTACTGATTGGAAATTCCATAAAACGTTTTCTCATCCACAAACCATGCCAAATTACCTGATTTTGGCTTCACCATTGCTGCTGGTAAATTTGTATCTTGCTCAGCGAATATCGTCTGCAAGCGTACTTCTGTTTAGGTACAGAAATCCCTTTGGCATTTTTAAGACAGCATAACATTATCACTCCAATGCCCCTTCATTCACCTATCATAAGCAGTAAATGAAATTTGAGATACCAAAAAAAATTCAGCAAATTTTCAAATCTCAATAAAAGTACAGCGATATTATTATATGCTCCAAATACATTCTTCGATGTTGATCATAACTTCGTAATCCAAAATTTAAGCGATTTTGGGGTAAAAAAAAGGCAGCATTGCCGAATTCGCGCATTCAACAACAGTTTTTTACTCGAAAAGTGACACAAATATATTCCCACCTCAATCTACTTGAGCGGCATAATATCAAGAATACAACTAATAGCATGAAAATTAAAACATTTCTTATTTTGCTTAGGCATTTTGAGTAATTATGGAATTTAAATTATGGAATTTATATTTGTTAAACTGTTTTTGTTAAAAAAATGTTTTTGTTAAAAAAAATTATATTTGTTTTGTTGAAAAATTTATATTTGTTAATAAATAATGGAATTCATATTTGTTAAACAACAATAGAGTTCCTAATGTTTGAAATTGCTTTTATGATTGAAATTGCTCTCTTGTGTTTCAGAAACCATCTAGTAATCGAGTTCGCAATTTTTGAAATTGCTTTGATTGGAACTGCCTCGTCGTTTTTCAGAAACCATCTGTTACCTCCAAATTAAAGCATGAAATTCCCTTGTATGCACAAATTTGCCCGAAACTCTTATTTCACCCCAAACTTTTTTACCATTTTTCTTGTAACATACTTTGCTTTTTGAGGCAGCAGTTCTCTTCTCTAGTTGCACAATAGGGTGTTTACACTCTACTTGCTTCTTCTGACTTTTTATTGATGCTTCACAAAAAATTTCTTGAAAATACTACTAATACCTGCACATCGTACATACAGCATTTACTTGCTTCTAATTCTGGGTGCAGTGGACGTGAAGCACTACGGCACAATCTGTTGAAAGAAGAACCATCGCCATGATTTCCGAAAATCACCAGCTGAGCTCCTGGCTAACTAGCAAATTTAGCAGAAAGCAAAAGCAAAAAAATTTCGAACCTACCTTTATCAGCTCACACTTGTTTGGATCAGTAGAAATAAATGCTATATTTCGGGCATGATTCAGTACTGGCAATGTTAATGTGATACGCTGGGGCGGAGGTTTAGGTGAATCTTCGATTGCTGCTACCCATTTTGTGTCTTCCTGAAATTTCTAAAAAAATACCAAAACTACCAGCTTAAAAATCAAGACAAAACAAAACAAAATAAAAAAATGAAAATAAAGGACTGAAAAGCAAAATGGATAGAAAAAATGACACACGAATAAAATTACTCCAAAAAAAGTCGGAATAAACAAAAAATGGCTTCTTGGGGGCCCGTTTTTGGGGCAACGTATCATCACCAAAATATACAGATTGGGTACCAAAATGAACATTTCGGAGGGAGAAGCAGAGCATACGACTGAAGAAGCTAAACTTCAACTGAGAAAGGTTCGATTCGCTTACCTTCAACAAAGAGTGCCCCGGAAATAACGAACAGGTATGACCATCTGGGCCAACTCCAAGCAAAATTAAATCAAACACGGGCCATCCTTCTTCCATGTCTATTTTACAGTTACGTATCTCTTCTTCGTAGTTCTTTGCGCATCGGGATGCTGCAAAAATGCACTAGGAAGGTATTTTGATGTAGAGAGAAGATCAGAAGAAAAAATAATATTAAGAAATTAGTAAAAGTGGTAAAATTATTTTAATAAATTTATTATAATGGTTCTT